TCCTCAGCAAATATGGTAAATTGGCTTGGTTAAACTATTTCTGCATTAGTCAAATTAATTATTTTTAAAAAGCTTCTTTTATTTGTTAAAAATACTACACCGTATACTAGAAGCGACAGAGTTCTATGTTTTTTTATGCTTTTAATACAACAAATTATGATTTTAATGCAAAAAAAAATAATTGTTTCTTACTTATAACCGTATAAAAATTCAAACGGCACATAATTTTATTAATTATACAGTTTTTAGGTATTTATTTTAAACAATTTTTTATTAAATTAATAAATAATTAATAACATTCAGAACGAAAATATTGACTACTTAAAAGAAAAATATTATTACTAAACTATTTGAACTATTTAATTAGTTTGGAGAAAAAACGTTTATTTTTATTTAGTTTGGAGATAAATGTGCTTAATTTTTTCATTTGAGAAAAATGTATGATTTTTAACTACTAATTGAGGCAAAAAAAAAAATTTAAAATTTTTGAAAAAATATATTTAAATTTTTACTTGCAACACACACACACACATACACACAAAATATAACACAAATTTAATTTTTATGTAATAATTGTAAAAAGCAACACTAAGTTGTCAGTTATAATGCATACGTCAATTTCTTCTAATTGGCAATTGTTAATTGCTCATTTAACTAAACATTAAACGGAAACCCTAATACATAAAAAAATTCTTTAAGTTATTAAATTTTATAATTTTTAATATACAAATTGATCTCGACAAAGGTCTAATGAAAGACTCTGTGTGGAATAGATTTTATCTGAAAGAAGCAATAAAAAAGTAATAAATATTTAAACTTTAGAGCTCAAGATTTTATTCGAAAATTATCGGAGTAGCTCGTTCATTTGATCAAAAAATACTCGCACACTCGTTGGCTGCATATTTTCGTGCACGAGTTCGAGCTCCGAGAACTTATTTTCACAATTTTTAAATTTATTTACTTAAAGTGAAAAATCCATTGAAATGCTCGCACTACTCTATATCCGGGTATCTAGAGCTCTAATATCGTTGTTCTGCTCAGAGTACATAACAAACCTTCCTTTCTTATTACGCTCTCTGCAGTTTTAATTAAAAAAAAATGGTACCTAAAAAATTCTGGCTTTCTTTATTCATGCTTATGGAAGCCAAAGTGAAATGACTATTTTATTTCCTAAATATATCAAACTTAAAAGTTGTAAAGATGTATTTATTTCAATAAAAGTAACGAGAACGTAATTTCACATTTTCTTCTATAAAATCACTTTGATGAAATATACGATTTCAAATGCTTTTAAAAAGAATAATATCGATAATACAAAGAAAAGTATTTAAATTACACTTTGCCTTCCAGGTAATCAATTAGAGAAGCGAGAGAGGAAGAGAGATAGTGCGCGTGTTTTTATGTTTCGTTTCAAACAAGTGATTTCAAAACTTTTGCTGGATATCGAAAAGAATGAAAGACCAATAGATAAACCGAAATAGCGCTGTCAGATAAGATATTATATGCAATACAAAAACAAAATATTTTACGCCTCTTACATATTCGCAAAAACAATCAAAGTTGAAATCAGTTAAAAATATTTTCAGCAACATATCCAGTCAATAGAGAGATATAGACATTTTTTTGCAATTTTAATTTCTTTTTTTTTCTTCAATTCATACAAATATAGCACTGAAGAAATGAGTTGAGGAACAGCAGACAGCAATTAGAAACCAATTTGATTTATATTTCAAATGGGTAAGGCAATTAAAGAACACTCTCAGCCAATAAAGCCGATATAACCAATATCATGCGTCCATTGAACTAATATCAATGAGAAATATTTTAATTTTAATTTTAATTTTTATTCTTTATTATTATTATTTTTATTTTGCCTTTTAAATTGTTATATTTGAAAAATTTTTTTTAGTTTTAGAATTAGTTTTATTTGAATTTTCGATTATTAATTTATATTTGCAGGTTTGCTTTTCTATTGTTCTTTTCTTTTTTATTATTTACAATTATTTTTATTTGTTATTATATTTTTCCTTTATATGCTTGTTATTACTATTATATTTATTTTCTTCTTTTTTATTTTTATAATTTTTTCTTCGATTTTTATTTTTATCTTTTACTTTATTTTATTTTTTTATTTATTATATTTATTTATTATATATTTATTATATATTATATTTTTCATCAATAATATTTTTTGGTGATTTTTTTGTTTTATAATTTTTATGTCTTTTTTAATTTATATTTTCTTGCTGATATTTTTATTTTCATGTTGTTATATTTATTTACTTTTATTAATTTATTTTTATTTTCAATTTTTATTAATTAGTTTTTTATACTTAAATTTTCCATTGTCATTATTGGAATTTTTATTATTAATTTTATTTTCTATTTTTTTTAAGTTGTCATAAATTTTATATCTAATTAATATTTTTAATTTTAATTTTTTATTGTTTTATTGTTATTTGTATGCTCTATTTATTTAGTTTTATCTATTATTTTTTTTTTCTTCTTTTTAATTTTTATTATTTTTTTTTTTCAATTTTTATTTTTATCTTTTTTTTATTATATTTTTATTTTTAGTTTTTATTTTTATTTTTCATCAATAATATTTTTTGGTGATTTTTTTTTTTATAATTTTTATGTCTTTTTTAATTTACATTTTCTTGCTGATATTTTTATTTTCATATTGTTATATTTATGTACTTTTATTAATTTATTTTTATTTTCAATTTTCATTAATTAGTTTTTTATACATATATTTTCCATTATCTTTATTAGAATTTTTATTATTGTATTTATTTTATATTTTTAGATTTTTTTATAAATTTTATACATAATTAATATTTTTAATTTTTTTTTCATTATTATATTTTTATTTGTTAATGTTTTTTCTAATATCATCATTTACTACTTTTAAATTATTTGATTCATAATGTTCATTTCTCGTATAATTTTTTTTTAAGCAAAGCATTGCAACCTCTCTCGTTTATCATATTTAATCGTAGTTAATTATAAACTTAGGTACACAATTTCCATATTGTTTTGGGTTTTTTTTCATACTATACAGTTAGCTGTGTTTAATTTTTTTTAAATTTTTTTTACTAATTTTTTTAATGTTTTTTGAGTGCCATTTTTGCGTAATTCAAGCTTCCTAATTTTGCACACTTTGAAGGTTTCTGTCTATTCTGTTTTGTGGTTTTCTTTCAATTTGTCTTAAGTTTTGTTTCACAACATATATAAGCAACATTAATTGACCGGCGTGCCAACAAAATTTTTATTAATTGTTTTATTTCTTTAAAATATTGTAAAAGAACTAAAAAATAAAAATTAAAAAATAAAAACTGGATTCATCACTAAGAAGTGCAGCAACATATTTCAGCAACACTAGCTTTTTGGATATTATAAGGTTTGTCTTCAGCAGTTTTTACCTCTGTATTTTTGCTAACAAGCGAGGGCTGCGTGAAAATGCATATGTTGCTGCAACATGCTAATGCAACTTTAGAGCACAGACTTCTTAAAATGAACAAAATAACTAAAAAAACTGTATTTGTAGTTAACTTTATAAAAAGGTATATAAAAATTGTAATTCTCAACTGCAGTGAAATGTTGTAGCAACATATTTTGGCAACAAAGCAGCTTTATAAGTTGCTAAGCCGTTAAACTCAATGCGCTTCGCACAGAAATCGATGTTTGTTGTTACCTTTATGAAAAGAAGTATGAAATTCTAATTTTTGTCATTGGTAAAATGTTGCGGCAACATTTTGAAGCAACAATGCAGCTAAAAAATTATTTTTAGAGTGACGCAACCGTTTTTTGAATGCAAATTCTTCTAAAGAATTTTTTCAAATTTATTGAGATACAAAAATTGTTCGTCACATACTATGTTGCAACACTGTACCCAAAAACAAATTTGTGTATTTTTTTTTTTTTAGCCAGAAACTAGGTCTTTTCAAAGGAGAATTTTCAGAACTTGGTGAGGGGTCATAAAATTTATTGTCACGCTGATCTTTTTCAATAATTTTGAATTATTTTTATCATTAAATTATTGTTTGACTTAATAAAAAAAATTTGGACTCAACAATTTTTTGGAGACTTGCTTACAAGTTTTTAATTTTTTTGTGAATTTAGAATTTTTTTTTCAGGAATATTCTAAACAAAATATTTTTATTCAATTTCTTTGGTGTCCCGCAACTCATTGCTGGGTAGTTTAGAACAAAAAAAGATCTCTCCAAATCTCCAGGCCTGCCCATTTATGTGTGCATTTCAGGCGGATGTGCGTGTGTGGGTGTATGTGTATGTCGGTGTTTCTGCAAGCAGTTCTTATCACACTCCATTTTACCATTTTCAAATACATTTTTGATAAAATTCACATAGCGCTTTTTTTTTTTTTTTTTTTTTTTTTTTGTAATGTTTGTCAATTTTTTATTATCAATGTAATTTTAATCAACTAGTATTTATTTGTAATTAGTTTTATTTAATTTTAATTAATTTATTTTAATTTTAAATTTAGTCTAGGTATTTTGCAAGCAGTTTTTTTTTACAAATTTTTCGTTAACAATAATTTAAAATAGTGTTTTTCACGCATTCTTAAACATTTGCTATGTAACACATGAATACATATTATATACATATTACATATGTACTATGTATTTTATAAATTATTTAATTAAATTTTTTTTAACTAAAACGCACTGCAAACGTACAAACAGCATTTATTTTTAGGTTTTTCTTTTTTTTTTTGCTTTTTTATGCCAAAAATAATTATTTTTTCTTTGTTTTCTACAACTGCGTTTGGTTAAACTAAATTAATAACTTATGTATACATACATACATATTTGTTTTTGTTTAGTTTTATTTTATTGTTTTCGTAAACTTATTTTGTTTTTTTTTTTTTTTGGTTTTAAATTATTTTGCAAACTTAAATTTTTTTTTTTTCAAGTTACCAAGCGGTTTTAATTCTTTTTCTACTTATTTGCTTGCTGCTGCTTCTTTTATTATTTGCATTTCTCGTTTGTTGTTGCTGTTGTTGTTGTGGGCTAACTATTTCAACTTAGTGGATGTGTGTATATGTATGTTGCTTAATTTGCGTGCCTCCTCCACCACCAGCCAATGCGCCTTTGCTACCTGTTAGTTGTTTAAAGTTCTTTGACTCCTCTTCTTCTTTTCCCCACTTCCTCTTCTTATTACTCTTCTTCTTCTCTGTTGCTTGATAAATGACTTATTTACTTTAGTTGTTTTTAATTGTTTTTATTATTAACGGTTAATTTAGGAGTTTTTGCACGATTTCTATTTTGCAGTTGTACATATTGTATGCATGTACTTAGGTGTATGTATGTAAGAATGTGTGTATATTTAATTTTAATAAATATGCTTCTATTTGCTTTGTCTTATGTACACATATTTTCATTTTTTTTGTTGCTGTAGCTTTTGAGGGAGTTTGTTATTGTTGTTGTAGTTGTCATTTATATAGATATATGTACTATATATTCTAATTTTACTCAGTTTCTGTTAAGTTATACATTTATGTATTTTTCTACCGATTTTTAATTGAACTTAAAAACTTTTATTTGCATGCATGCATGTATGTGTGTATGCTTATTTACTGCTTCTTTTTGCTCTAATAATAAGCTGCATTTAATAAACTTTGTTCTTCTATATATGTATGTATATTTAAGTTTGCACATGCACTGGTTCGCCATATATCTATGTATATATGTATATATGTGTGTATGTATGTATGTGTGTCCAATTGTTTGAATTATATATATGTGTATGTGTGAGGGGTGTGTGAGCGAGTACATAGAACATGCTAATATGCCCTTTGACAGTCGATGATAGCTGTTCCTGCTGCTGCTGCTGTTGTTGTGGTTGTTCTTGTTGTTAAATAGCATTTATCTAATAATTATTATTTTGTATTTATATTATGTGTACATATATGTATGTACATATGTATATTGGTTGCCCGGTTGGTTGCATTGAAGATTGGTGGTTGTGTTTGTAGTTGTTGTTGTTGCATTTGTTTTTTATTTTATTTCTCTTGGAGGTCTATATACACATTTCTATACGCATATATGTATATTTATATTTGGATGTATGTTTCATACATATTATTATATATATATATATGTATATGTATATATGTAAATATTAGGGTGGTGGTACTGCTTAACATTACACATCTTGGAATTTTGAGAGACGCGCACGCAAATCCATATTTTCCTGTTTCAACTGTTCCACTTCTTGATGTAGTGTCGAATTCTAATTGGGAGGAGGAACAAATTAAGTAAAAATGTGTAATAAAAAATTAAAATAAATCTTTTTTTTTTTTTGTGCAAATGTTCAAATCACTCACTTCCTTTTCCAAATATCTAGCACGCATCGCTATTTGGTTTTCCTTCTGGCGGCGCGCATCACGTGATCGCTTAGCGGCAATGTTATTCTTCCGACGACGTGCCCAATATTTATCATCCTTCAGTTCGTCGGGCACAAATTGTTTGCGTGATTTTTTAATCATCGGTTGCGGTTTTAGCTCTTCATCGGAGAATGCTCTGGTGCGCGGATCGAAATCTCGCCCCGATGACGCAAAGGAGAAAGCTGAAATGTCAAATACTTAAATATGTCAACAATATTTCATCAACTGTTCATTGTAAACTAAAAAAACTGTGAAAAGCTTTGAAAAGGAAAATAAATACAGAATATATAATTTTTCTCCCAGTTAGCCGTTAAACAGAAGGGATTGGTTTGGGAGAGCGAAAAAAAAATGATGGTAGAAAAAATGAAAGAGAACATTGCCAGTAGAGCAATGAGCGATAGTTTAGTAACTCTCCTAAAGGGCCTCTTTCAGTTCTTTGGACAAAGACGAATTTGGGCTAAAGCCGGACTGAAACAGAAGCGCTGCTCTAGCCTCTCGCTCATGCTTTCCTTCTTGCACTTTCTACATGTATCACTAACATTGGCTCATAATATTGAGTTTTCTACTATTTAAACCAAATAAACCAGAAAATATTTTATTTTAAAATTTTCCAGCACAAACCTGCATTTAAATGAAAGTTTTGTGAGCATTGAATGAAAGCTCTATTAGCTTTAAATGAAAGTTTTGTAATCTTTGAATAAAACTTTTGTGATTTTTAAATGAAGACTAATGAAGGCTTGAAATGAATGCTCAGCGAGCTTTAAATAAAAGCTTAGTGAGCTTTACAATTATTTCTTGTGTTCAATGAAAAAGTAAAACTTAGAAAAACTTACAGTCTTTTAAATGTTAAACTCAAACTTTGAAAAAATTTACTTTTTATTCAGCATTTTTTCTGTCAAAGCTTTCAGTTTTTTCAAATTCAAGATCATGATATTAAAAAAAAAAATGTTTCGCCTTAACTAATTATTAATCAGAATAAGTTTAAGAGTAAGTATTTTAATTAAGCTTCGATGTGGAAAGCTTTGAAAGCTTCGACACACACTTGGAGCTTTTAAAATTAACATTAACAAAATGCTAAGTCTGCCATAAGTCTTAAAATTCTTCAGGTGAAGTTGTGATATCAAAAAATTTTAAATCTATTTAGAAAATATCTATTTAAAAACTTTATTCTGAAACACTAGCTTGACAATGACTTTTTAACTATTAATCAGTTAAAAAAAGCCCATATAAATTAATTTTGCTTCTTAAAAAATGATGAAACATCAGATATATTTAGATATTGCTCAAAAATAAGGGGAGCACCTGCCAAAGTAGAAGACTTTGTAGTAAAACATAAAATTGCCGTGTATTGCAAAGAGCTTTCAGAAAAATAATAAAATCTCTAAAAGCTTTTTTTCACTATAGCAAAGCATTCAATAATGATGGCGCTGGGCCTAAATATTTTTAATTTGCTCGTACGTAACATAACACGAAATTATTTTCAATAAAAAGTAAAAGCTAAACGTGTGTTGATCACTTAACTCAGTAGTGTTTGAGGGCATGACAAAGATGTTCACCAGAAAAAAAGCAAATAAGACAAAACAATAACAATTTGCCTGTTAAAGAGTTGACCTCAAGAGAAGCCTATGAAAATCGATTGCCCCCATTTTTTGCGAGTAGGGACAAGGATTTTTATGATATGGATAATTCTAACTTTGATAAATTAAGTCTAAATTTTAATGCTGAAATGATAGATAACTTTTTTTACCAATATATATGTATGTATTAACTGCTCTATTGCCGTATTTTAAATAACTTTTTGCAATTCATATTAAAAAAAATACAATTTATATTAGCATAAATCGGAAAAATTGTTAGTTTTTTTAATTTTACTGGCCATGATTTTTTTATAAGTAAATTAAATGATTAGTTGTAAATTTAATAAATTGTTTGAAGTAAATAAATTTATAACACAAATAGTTAATCTTACTGGACTAACAGTTCCCTACCAAGAAGTATCTAACAATTTTCTCAAACTACAGCCTAACCTATAACCATGCATCGCTTTTATTTATGCAAAATCAATAGAAATTTTTTATGAGAGTATTTCAGAGCATTTAATAAAGACTTTACTATAAACAAGAGAGGGAAGGAGAAAATTAAAAAATAAGAATTAAAAAGCAAAATATTTTTTTTTGCCCAAATTAAACTTTCTATACTCACTTGACTCGGCCGGCGATGGTGGATTCAATGTTTCCGGACTTATACAATCCGATGGCGATGGGGAACGTTCACGTTTCGTCGTTATATGACCGAGACCCAGTCCCAGTCCAGCTGCATGACCCAATGAATCTGATCGATGCCCCAAACCACTTGAGTGTCCCAAATGGGTGCCAGGCAAGCCATCAGGTATATTGTTTTCCGATAAAAATTCATCCAAATCTGCATACTGTATGTTGCGTAACATTTTTCGCAAACATATACATATACATATGTGCGTAGGTATGTGTTGACGTTTGTATGTGTTGATGATTTGGTGACGTAAGCGTGAAATAAATAAAAGTAAATTATATTTTATTATTGGTTATAAATACTTAATCCATAATTTTATCTATTTAAAGAGTTATTTAATAGAAAAGTAACAGTAGAATACAACAAAACAAGCTTTCTGTATGTAATTTTTTTCGTATTGGTTATTTTCACATATTACATATGTACATATATTTGACAATTAAATAAAAAAGCACTTATATAATTTTGTAAGCGGTAGTTTCTATGGCAGCGCCTTTACAAGGAAGTGATTGGGCAATAAATAAATGAAAAAATACGAAAAATAAAACATTTTAAAAAATTATATAGACTAAAATATGCAACTTTCTGAACACAATGAGACTACTTATTTAAAGCTCTGAAGCCCTTAATAGCCAAGTGGTTTGAGTCCTGGCTAGACCAATATCCAAAATTTTATATTGTGGAATAATATTTTTAAATTACTATTATTCAGCTTATGAACTTGCAGAGCCCAAAGAAACGAGATGCTGGAGGAAATTTTCCATTGAGAAAATAAAGGTTAAACTTGTTTTGGGTAAATACAGGAGGAAAATGGAGTACCCGTTTTTTTCTTTTTGGCTACTGGAGTGAATTTATGGCGACCTCCGTCAAATCCCTAAGTAGTGTTGGAAAAATATATCTCCTTCAGGTTTTTCAGTTCTCTAGGCAAAAAAATTCATCTTTCGCTTTCAGAAAGAAGGCTTTACGGAGCTAGCAGTCTTATAGTTTTGCTGCGCCAAAATTATGTTGAAGTGGGTAAATAAACCCTTGAGGAATCCCACAAAGAAGTGCAGTTACGACTATTATTAACTCTACAGACAGTTTCAGATCTTGCTGGCCTTATAGATTTCCAAGCAGGAACCTCTAAAATCTACGTCAATTGAAAAGTAAAGTAAAAATAAAAAGAAAAGTAAAGTTAAAATAAACTTAAGTAGAGAAATTTAAAAAACACCGACACCATATTTGAGAAGTTTTTTCTAGATTCGGAAAATATGTAATACAGACAAAAAAAGGAATATTTATAGCAGTGCCTGCCCTCAGTTAGGCTAGATACGCCACTGTTTGAGAATTAGCTTCTTAAATGATTTTTCTAAGGCAGCAGACTTCAGTGCAAATAATCTATAATGAGGGAATCGAAGTTGATAGAAGTGAAATTTTAATTTCTTTATCACGTTACCTCTTGAAGCGAATAAACTAAATGGAGATATTGCAATCTTCTACAAGAGCAAACAACTGCGGGCATAAGCCGGCATCATCCGACTCAACAACCCCGTTTTTTGTGCGTGTCAGCCTGAGTGAGTAGTAAAATTTACCAATAGATGTCGCTGCTGCTGATTTTGTTCACATACATGACTCTTCGAATTTAAAGGGAGGGGCCAGTTAGCCCTGTTTCGGATTTCCATCTTATAGAGAAGAGCCATCGCTTGCCATTTTGCTATCAAACAAACAACATGGCAATATCAGACTGGAAATCCAACGTAGAATCATTCTAAAAAATGATATTTTGAACTGAACTGGCGGTTGATAAGAAAAAAACCCCCTCTCCCAACGAACAAAAATTAAGTTATATAAGCCGTTCATCACATCTATTACGCTAACGGCTATTAAAAACATTCTATTTGTCGGAATTAAGAAGTTCCGGGAAAAAGTTTCAGGGAAGATTTTTGGGAAGAATTTTGGACATTTGCTCTTTGGTAACGCCGAATATCATTGATCATTGGCCCTCAGCTGTAAGATATGTACGGCAATTTTGATATAATTGAGCGAATCGATAGGATGGTTGGAAAGAATAGGCGCGCCGTACTGGCACAAGAAGAAACGACCGTTGGCTTATTGAGAATAAGAAGCAGCTTCAATTATACAGCCTGAATGATAGCCCAACAAAAGCAAGGTAACTATTTCTGACAGCGGCTCAGCTAAGTCAAAACTAAAGAATACCGACATTGTGAGCGCATATGAGCGTTTGCGGTCAGAAATGTTCCATTTTCAGCACTTAATTGTTTGAAGAAAAACGTTATAAACAGAGGTTCTTCAACCATACACTTCGTAGCGTAAAGACTTCCCGGATTCTCCTGCCTTTAACTCTCTGAAATGATATAATATTACTGACGAGATGGCAAACTTATGGGTACTGGAGAAGGCCACTACAAAGAAATAAAATTATTGATGAAATGTAGGGACCTTAAGCTTAAATGTTTTAAGCCACTTCATAAATTTTCTATAATTTTGGAAAGGACTAGAGTTCTTGACCTTTGGCATGATAGCTTGTACTGCTAACCCCGCAGCTAATGGTGATCAAAACTGGTATATAATAAAATCGAATAGGAATCTTATTACTTCCTACAAATCTAAATGCAACGCTGACAATCACAGCTCTGAGCAGTAATACCGTTAAAAACAATTAAATTGAAAAAAAAATATATCAAAAGCAACTTAAAAAAAATCTTTAAAATTGAAAATATATTTAACTAGTTCATAAATTATTAAAAATTTCATAAAATTATAAAACAAATAAGCATTAATTTACACACACAAGTGTATGCCCACATGCAGACATATAAAGACATACAAAGTAGGGACATACAAAAAACACTCTCGTGGCACGTTGTGCAAATGAACATACATACATATTTGTGTATATGCAATAGTGTATGTGCAAGTCTGACTGTATGCATGAATTTGTGTTTATACTTTTTTTATAAACATTTTTTTTCATTAAACTTTAAACAAATTTCTACAAATGCAATTGGCACTACTAAAGCTTCAAAGCTTATGAATTATGAAAAATCACTGTTGTGTTATTATGTGTATGTGTGTGTGTGTGTTGTCTGTTGGACCGGCTGACTTCTCATAGTTGAATTTAACTATTTTATATATTTTTTTATTAATTTATTTATATTTATTGCATATGCGTGTATTGTTATTTGTTGTTACAGTGTCGCTTTGTAGATATTATATATGAAAATTAGAAATTTTTATATGATAAAAACATATATTGTATGAAAACATATAAATGTTTAGCACGCTTCACTACGCAGCCGAAATGATACTAACTTGTGTTACCTTAAGATCGGCATCGTACGGCAGAGTTTTATCCCACAAATTTGGTCCGAGAAATGCGGTTTGGGCCTCCACATTCCAGAGATCACCTTCCTCTTTGTATTTATCATCGCCGCAGATAACATCTTTATTATTCGATGAGGATTTGCCTGCAATGCCAAAAGAATGATAGTTGTAATGAGTACTGGTCGACATATTTTTGTTATGAAATTCAATAATTTATTTTATTATTTTCAAATAATTTGTGTTTAATGGAAATGAACAAATAAAGTGTGTTGAAGTGAGCGAAAAAATTATTTATATATGTATGTATATGTAACTTGAATAAAAAAAATTCATTTAAGTCACATGCACTCAACAAATGTGTCTGCTGATATTTCTGCTCGTGTAAGTACTTAGTACTCATCGCTTCAATAATTTGAAGTGATTATTTCTACTTGTTTTACTTATCTACCGGCTTTAGCTCGTTTTAATACTCAGACTTTTTTCCTTTTTCAAATAGTCAACCCTTCAATTCTCAATTGGCGCATAGCTTGAGAGTACTCGTATTTTTTTTTTTTGTTTTTTTTTCAAATAATAACGACAATTTAATTGGAGAATATTCATTTATTCCCGTTGATGACGCCAAATATGTGAAAAAAATTCGCAGATAATTCTAGTATTTTTATAAATTGTTTCAAAATGTTTCTCTTGGAAAGGATTAATCAAATTCACTTCAAAGAAATTTCTTCAGTTGGAATGACAGGGGAATTGTCACTTATGAACAACTGCTTATCGCTTATCAGCAACAATGATGAAAAAAGCTTATGAAAAAATTTAAAGGAGACACACCAGTTTTGGATGACAAAACAACAAAAATTAAATAAATTAAACGAATATGTACGTCAAACCGCACTACTGACTAAAAACTCTAATCGATTTGTTTCTACTAAGTATTTACTAAATGAGAACTTTTGAAAAGGGTTTGGCTTATGTGGTGGGGTCGAGCGCGCTTCGATTGAATGAAAGACAGAATCGTCGATACGAAAACTTAAATAAAATTAAACTAAATTTTTATATTTAGAGCAGTTTATTTTTAAATCGCCTGCCAGCATATATATCAAATTTCAAGGTTCCAGTATACATGTCTGTCTGTCAGTCTAACTGTCAATAACTTAAGTACAGTTTGAAATATTTTAATGAAATTTGGTTCACACATTGCTTATGTCCCAAGTACGGAATGTACCGCAATTGGGTGAAATTGAACCAAGTTTATGCCAACCTTCCATATAACGGTAATTTTGAAAAGTATGAAAATTCCAATAATTCAGTAACTAAATGTGTTTGTATCATTGAAGTCACATTAGTTAACGACGTTGGTATTGAATATGAAAATTAGAGAGGATAAAAAAAATTTCTGATCTTAAGTTAGGGTGGTGAGCGGAATCTATACAGAAGGCCTTGGTAATAGCAAATTCTTTCATGTGCGGAATCACTCTGTTAATTGTCTAGGTTTAAAGATTCTCATAGTATATTGTGTCTACATTCATTCCGGATTGCTTTGGTAACTGTTAAAATAAAATCTGAGAAGATAGAAAATTGTCGTAGTCCACTTGACATGAAGGCTTTCTGTGTGCCTAATATGGGTAGCTACCGTAATAGCATACCAAAAAGATAATGGGCTTACAAGAGAGGAGATTTCACATGTCGCTCTACACATGTAAGCACACTATTAGATAGCTATTTGTGGTAGATACTAACTAAAGATAGGAGCGTCCCAATTGCAGTACTATGACCGAGGTAATATGAACTTCACGGAATTGAAGAAAGTCATAGGAGCTTATGAGGTATAGATGGCATACACACGTGAGTAACATCAAATCTCTGCGGGAATAGTTACAAAGAGAACGAAACTCAGAAACCTTAAGCAACTTTCATTTTCAAAGAAAATGTTCTACCCTCTAGAGACGACCATCTTTAGAATGGCGATTTTTGGGAAAAGACAGGAAACAAACGCAATGAAAAATTTGATTTTGAAGTATAATAAATAACTTTCTTGAACAACTGGAACAATACAATTTTTAATTGGGCTTTGAATTTATATATTTTTTAACATATTTCGGAAATAATTATTCTCATGCATTTTTCTTTATACAGTTTTCATGTGTGTTCTTATATTTATTAAAATCAAATTCTAGTGAAAAATATGGGCATGAAATTTTTTAAGTTCCTTCGTTCTCGAGTTAAAAAATTACATATCTTTCATTTATACACTAATTGGGATAACCTAACTGAACCCGCCAATTAAAAATGTTTTGAAGACGTCCTTATTTAAATTTCTATACTAAAATTACCAGCAAAAAAGAATACACATTTTTTCTTATTTAAAATCAGCTCTCTTTATTAAGCTCCTTTCTTAAAATGCTATCTATTGGAAATTTTAGATTTTATTGGAAAGCTCATAATGATAAATTTAATGGACAACAAAAAATCTGATCTTTGTAATTTACTCAAATTAAAAATACTATTTGTTTTTTTCACTAACGGTTAAAACCACGTTAACTATTTAAATGTGAAATATATATAGTGAATTTTTTTTTAAAGAACAATGCCCAAAAGATCTCAAAAAAATATATTATTATTTATTTTACAATTTTTTCTTGCATCTTTCATTAATTTTGTTTTTGTTATTAAAATGTTATTCTTCTTAAATTAAACAAACTTCTCAAATAAAAACAACTAAAATTCTTTTGAAATGTTTTTCTCTATTAAATAATTTCCTAAGAATTCCAAATTTGTAGCTAATTTTTTTTCCGGTTCAAATATATCACAAGCCCCCGGTAAAAGTAGGTTAATAATTCAATAAAAATACCTAAATGACCGCTTAAAATTAGCGCTTATGAATAAATCGAGTCATTTGCAATTAACAGGCGCCAATTGGCACTACAAAAATCGGGCAGAAAATCAAAGCAAAAAATTCGCAGAAACCAACATAAACAATGCAACTGCAATGGAAAGAAATGTGCAAGAAATTCAAAACACACACATTACATGCAGCAACAAGCAAACAAAGAGCGCAACGATAAATAAAAATAAAAATTAAAATTCACACACAAACCAAACAAACAAACAAGAAACACCAGCAATTCGTATAAAGTAAAAAGTAAAAATGCGCATGCGCAACCAAAGACTGCACATGCATACACACACACATGCACTAGCACTCTACACCGCTTCCCACAGAGCGTCTCTTGCGCCGTGCACCGGCAATCGTAAATCAACACATCACATACGAGTCCAAAAGTCAAGCGGCGGCAACAGCGCACCGAAAATCATTTCCGTATTCAAAAGTTACATCGTCAAATCGAAACAACAACGACAACAACAAAAGCAATAACAACAATTGCAATAAATAAAGAGACAGAAATAAATACGAAAATTCATTGGCGCAGAGTGGGCTCGCTGCCGTACAGCTGTGGGTTGGCAATAAAACTCAAATGAATGTACATATACAATATATATACGAGTATTTATGTATATAAATAAGATACATATGTACAAACATATGTATGTGTCTGGCCGAAACAAGGAAAACCAGAAAGCAAACAAGCGAAAATGATAAATTAAACAAACGAGCGTAAAAGAAAATGTGCAAGAGAGGTGAGGGGTAAAGTACGATTGGCCATTGTAAAATCTGACTTTGGTTGGAGAAATGACGAAATAATGCAGAGACAATCGGCTTGGCTTTTAAAGCTAAAATAAAAACAATAACAACAAAATAATAATAATAAAACAGAAAAAAACGAAACGAAACAAAAACTCCGCAGCAAGGGAAATGAAATGGAAATAGTAAACGAAAGTGAAATTTCGTCTATCTATCTGTTCGCCTCAGTTGTATTGCTCTCACTGTGAGTGCGTATGTAGGTATACGTGTACGAGTGAGAGTAAGTGCGCTGAGCTTAATGGCGCATGCGTGACCTACAATACGCGCATTTTGATTTCGTTGGAGTGATTTCATGCTTCAACTCCAATTGAGTGAAAGCTCAAGGCTGTTGATGGAGCTTTTTACTGTCGTTTTTATACCCTTTATGAACTTGGAGTTTTATTGTATTTTCTGCGTGAATATTTTGGAAGAAAAAATTAAATAAAAAAAAACACAGATAAGTACATAAAGTATTCATAAAATTGCATTAAAATATGTAGAATGTAGTTTAGAATTCTAACTACTTACACTAAGCAGTTAAAAAATTTAATAAAATTACATTTTCGAATTTAAAATATGACAATAATCTTTCCAATTAAATAGATTTGAACCTGAAATTCAGTATTCTGAAAGCTTCCAGGATAATGTTTCTATAGCAAAATCCATAAATTAAAGCCTCTGCAAACTAACTGCTCATATCTTGACTTGGCTAAGAATTTATGGCATCCAATATGTATAAGCAATTATCCAGAAAAAAGTCGTACTTCAGCTAACTGAAAGCATTGAAATTTACAGTTCTTCATGTATGGTATAAAAGAATGTTTCGCTCTCCAAAGCTCCTACCCTTTCGCTTGAGAAAAGTGCCTCTCATAAGCTTTGCACTGTGTATCAACTTTCTTTCAAACTTCACTCCCATACATTTTTATTTACATATATTTCTCAGCCTAATTCAACTCTTTCTCTAAAATGTTGTCCTCTCTTTAATTATCTTCAACAATACGACAGTTGTGTATGGATTATCTGAGATCTGATAGACTTTGTGATTAATAGACTAACGGTTAGGTGCGCATACACATGTATGTATAAAAATTCATACATAAATTTCTTTCATATTTCATACAATGAAGCTCAGCAAATCGCTTAATCTCTTTTCATATTAACTTCGTTTTGTCTACAGCTTCAGTTTCAGCAGCAACTTCAATTACAACTTTAAATTCACCATTTCGCCAACATTCGTAAAAAAATTTCCGCTTTCTTATTCACTCTCACTTATCATACGAATATATTTCGTTTTGGCTTAAGTTGTTGTTTATTTTCTTTTTTTTTGTTGCTCCTCGTTTTTTGTGTTGCTGACTGGTTTCTGTCTGCTTGGTTGCTTTTACTTGACGAACTGGCTTTTTCACAGTGTTGCTACTATTTTTGCTTTCTGCTTTCAGCTTTCAGCTTTCGGCCTCTGTCTCGGCCTCTGCCTTGGTATTACCAAATGTTGCGAAATCTTTGCAAGTCTTTTCTGGTTAAGTGTTACGATTGCAATTGAATAATAGTTGTTTGCTGGCAAATTGCATCTAAGAAAATTGCAATTGCATTCATTCACGTTTGTTAGACCTCTTTCAGGTGAATGTGGATGAGAGAGCGTATGTAGATGTGACTGCTCTTATGGGAAAGTGGACCAGATTAGCATAACAATAATATTTATGCGTTAAATCAAGGCGTAAAATACAAATTTATTTTATATATTCTTTTGTATTTTCCATTATTACTTTTAATTTAAATTAATTACATTTTATTTTATTTTTAAATTTAATTTCATATAATTTGGATTTATTAAATTTTAGCCTTTTTATTTTATTTTCCATTTAATTATTATTAATTTCTAATTTCATAAATATTTTTTTATTTTTGTTTGATTTTTCTATTTTTATTTTTTGAACTTTTTTATTTTATTTTATTTTTTATTAATTTAATATTTAGCTCTAGTAAAAAGTATTCCATTATTATTGCAATAGATGGCTTTGGTGATCACATTTCATAAAATGACGATAATTGTCGCGTGTGGTGATCATACGATCGCTTTTTCCATAATTCAGAAGCTAAGCAATGCACCAAAAACAGTTTGAAACCACTTGGAAAGGGGTGGATCCGTGGAAAAAGTCTCCTCAATATCGCTTATAAGGTCCTTTCAAGCGTATTGTATGAGAGACTAAAGCCCACCGTCAACAATCTCATTGGACCTTATCAGTATGGCTTGAGACCAGGTAAGTCAACCATTGACCAGATATTCAAAATGCGCCAAGTCTTGGAAAAGACCCGTGAAAAGAGGATCGACACACACCACCTCTTCGCCGATTTTAAAGCCGACTTCGACAGCATGAAAAGGAGCTGCCTTTACGTCGCTATGTCTGAATTCGGTATCTCCGGAAAACTTATACGGCTGTGTAAGTTGGCGTTAGACAACACCAGAAGCGCAGTCAGAATTGGGAATGACCTCCCCGAGCCGTTCGGTATCAAACGAGGTTTCAGACAGGGTGACTCTTTGTCGTGTGATTTCTTCAGTTTGATGCTGGAAAGAATAATAAGAGCGCTCTTGCCAAACAGGTCCTACTTTCGACTGAGTGGGCAATTGAAAAGTAAAGTCTTTTCTCGGTGAACGAAAACCAAACTCTACAAGTCCCTCATCGTTCCCGTACAGTTATATGGTGCGAAAGCATGGACGATGACAACATCTGATGAGTCGGCCTTAGGAGTTTTCGAGGCAAACATTTTGCGTAAGATTTGTGGTAATTTCCGCGTTTGCAATGGCGAATATCGCAGCCGGTTATGTGGTCCGGATGGATACCAATACTAGAGCTTTGAAAGTTTTCGATGCAGTACCCGCCGGTGAAAGCAGAGGAAGACCTCCACTCTGTTTGAAAGACCAGGCAAAGAAGGAGTCGCGTAAGTGGTATCTACGCCAGTAAAGCAAGTAAGCAAGTAAGGTTTTGTTGTGTGTTTGGTGGGATTAACTGATATGACCAGCAGTCATATTCTTAATTCGCTTCTGTATTGGCAACACACACATAGATAGTGACTACTCACAAGTTCCGAGGGCATATTGGCGAGGTTCAAGGTGATTACTATCTGTTTCTATCTAGGATGGGTTGCTTGGCTAATGAAGAATTTATTTTATTTTACTTAATATTATTATTTTTTTATTTATTTTTTTATTTCACTTCATTCTATTCTATACTACTTGATTTTATATATGTTTTTTAATTAAATTTTTGATCTTATTTTACTTTGCTTTATTTTATTGTTATTTTATTCAATTTAATTTAATTTTATTTAATTTAACTTACATTAATTTTTATTTAAACTTTATTTTTATTTTTTATACCATTTTATATTATTTGATCTTATTTTTTTAATATATTTTATTTAATTTTTATTATTTTATATGAAATTATTTTTTTTATTTTTTATAATTTTTTATATTTTATTTTATTTTACTTAAATGCTTTCTATGTTGTTTTATCTATTTTTTATTATATTTATTTTATTTACTTTAATTAAATTTAATTTTTATTTTATCTTTATTTTTATTTTTAATTTAATGTTTTTGTTTTTCTATAATTTTTTTAAATTCATTTTATTTTACTTAAATAGTTCCTAAAATAATTTTTATTTTTAATTTTTTTAAAATTTCAAATTTAATTTAATTTAATTTTATTTTATCTATTTTTATTTTTTAGTCTATTTATATTATTTGATCTTATTTTTTAATATATTTTATTTAATATTCATTATTTTATGTAATATTACTTTTTACAATTTTTTTTATATTTCTTTTTATTTAACTTAAATGTTTTCTACATTATTTTATTTATTTTTGTTGTTTTTAATTTTCAGTTAAATTAATATAATTTTTTTATTAATTTTATTTTATTCCTCTTTCTTTTTCTTTTAGTTTTTAATTCCACTTAATTTAATATTTTTTTTTATTAATATTTTTTTATTTATATTACATTATTCGTATAACATGCAATCTCGTAGTATTCAAGCAAGGAACAATCCTGGATATTTTTAGAATTTTTCCAAACTTTCCCACTTTCTACAAAAATGTATGCATGCATATATGTGTGTAATATATAATAAAACCCGTTAATACATATTTTCATTCTTAGCAAAGCAAATAATATATTTTCGTTGAACTTTCTCATTAATTTTTTTATAAAAAAGATAAAGCAAAAAATTGCAACAATAACAAAGAAACAAAAAAGCAAAGACAAACACAAACACAATGAAAGCAGCGCAAAAAGCTGAAAGAAAGGAAAGGAACAAACAGAAAATGCAAACAAACGAAACAAAAAAACTATAAATTACCGTTTGTTTTGCAAATGAACCCCAAAAATGGAGATTTCCTGCCTGAAAACAAAAAATGAATAGAAAATATTGTAAATTAAAAAAAATTCAATGAAAAAACATTGGAAAATAGTTTGGTGAAGAGAATAAAAGAAAAGTGTTTAAAAGTAAAAATTAAAAGAGGCTTCAGAGTGTATAGATTTGGCATGAAAGAAGGTATGAAAAATATATATTTGTATGTATGTGTGACGATGTGATGTATACGTACATGTCTATTTATGAGACTTTGCATAGCAACAATAAACTTTATTCAAATAGAATTGTTACAAGGAGAAACCAAGTATTTAAAGGTAAAAAATAAAATAAGATATAAAATTGAAAAGGAAAAAATCAACCAAAATTCCACTAATTTTGGAATCGCAAAAACAAAAAAAAAATAATTGAAAAGATTTTTCTCTTTCGCTTTCCTGGTTGCTTTCGACTTCCACTATATTTAGTAATTTGACACGCCACTTTTGGTAATACAAGCTCAGCAAAGAGGAAAAAAAGAAAAAAAGTTCATATGAATATTAATGCGGACACATACATACTTACAAACATACATTTACCTACATATGTATGTATGTACAAGTATGTCTGCATATATTATATTTAACTTAAGATAACTTTTACTTTTATTTTCACTTTCACTGCTCAGATCAGTAACAGAAAAATGTTGAAAATATATATATGTACATACATACATACATATGTATATAAATGTATTTTACTAGAAACGCGCCAAAAGATGCTGGAATGGGAGAAATGCGACAATGAGGAAGGGTTAAAAGTTATTCAGCAACCCAACAACAACACCAATCAGCAGTGAACGTAGTAAACTCAGAAACGAGTTGTACACCAAATTTGTGTAAATAATTTATGGACCCAATTTGGTGTGTATATTTTTAGCGCAACAGCAAGAACAACAACAAAAAAATTTAACCACAGCTCCAAAAGACAGGCAGTGTAACACGCACGATCTTCATACTTGTGGCACGAAAGTGAAAAGAAATTGCGAAAGAAAAAGAATTAAAACCAAAAAAAAAAAGGAAATAAAAATATTTATTTATTGCCGATGACGTTTCAATACTATCAATATCTATATATCAACATGCCTGCGTTAAAAGCCTTAAATCTGCATCACATCAGACGAAAGCTACTTTGTTTTCTTGTTTAACTAAGTATGGCAACTTTGCAATGTAAATAAAAATTATGGTAATGGTTAAGTGGGTCAGCTGTTGTACGACTTTCGCATTTGGGACAAATTTGGTGAAGATGTTTGTAGAATACACACATAAATTCACAGACTTTCATCTTCTTTTCTCCGTTTTTTGTTTAGATTTGTGAAAAAAAGAGATATTTTAACGCACAGACTTATAGCTCGTCTGTAGGGGTCTATAACAATTCATAATGTGACTCGTGGAGTCTTTCTCGAAAAAAGCGAAAAAATATAACACAAGAGACACTATTCTTCAGTGGGGAATTGTATCACCACTATACCTCACAGAAAACGTTAATAGTACTCCGGGGTACCCTATATACAGTAAAAAAAAACTTATGCACTGGTGATTCTCTTTATACATACTTGGCGCTTTTCGGCCGAGCTCCGCCTTCAATTTGTGATTTTCCGTCTCGATGTTTTTCCAACAAATGCAGGGACCTACAGTTTATACTTAGCCTAAGAACGGCTGATGATTCCACATTGGGAGCCTTTACATATTTAATGTTAGAAATACACTCAGTCAGGTTGACATTCCCTGCCGAGGCTCGACCGCAATTAGAAAATTTATCTTAATCTTATATTCAAATTAATTTTCTCTAGCTTTTGGATGTTGGTCGAACCAGGATTCGAACCCTACCGCATCCGTTTTAAGTCTGATAACTTCTTTCGAACCAATAATTTGAATAAAAATAAATAATTGCCTACATTTCTGTGGTGAAGAAAAACTCATTCACTCAATTAAAGGTTTTCGGAATATTTCATACCTGCAGCCATACATTTGGACTTACATATTATACAGCTCAGTTTTTCAATATTTAATATATTTTCCGGCAAACGATTTGATTATACATGCTATTAAAAAATGGTGCCTACTTTTAGGAGCTGTAATAAAAAATTCCAAAAAAAAGTAAAATGTTTTCAGAAATCTGGGACAAACGCTCAAGCTTAAGAAATACACGTATACAAAGAAATTTTGCATACTAAGAATATTCATAGCCTACAATTAGTATGAATCAAACGTAATACATTTACTAATAATGTTGCCTACATTTTGGCGCCTAGAAAACTGCTACAAACGTGGACAAAAGTATTTTGACAATGCAATGCAAGTTCAAAAACCGCTTCTAATTTTAAATTGAGAGGAGTAACGGTAACCAATTTAAATTTAGGAGAGAGAAAATAACAAAGGCATTAGGAGAGCAAAAGCTTCCATTGATAACAGAACATATTTATTTTCTTTTATTATTTGTACGCCAGCCTTTGATATTTTGGCTGGACAAAAAAAAATTTGATAATTCAAAGTTTCTTAAAAAAAAATTAGAAAAAGTATAAACTTCTTTATAAAAAAAACAAACGTTCCTTTGACATCAATGACCTTTTGCACGCAGAATAGATTTTACTAAATTATGTAATGCTTCCCATGAGATATCCTGCCAAAGTTCTTGAACCTCAGTAATCGTATCTTCTTGCGTTCTTTATACATCTGTGCTGATTGAGATCGGGGCTTTGAGGCGGCGGTATTAATTATGATGATGATTTCAGCGTTTATTTAGCCGAATGATTAACAGTGCGCACAACCAGGCGAAATGTCAGGTACTCGCACCTTGACCAAACCCGCATCGACAGTTAAAGAATTTTTTTACAATTAATTTCGCTAGCTGCGCTCACCCCTCGGCAGTGAGAGCCACCTTCTCCAAATGTATTTATGATAAAAAAGAAAAAGATTTCATAAAAATCCCTTGCCGTTCGGAGGCGCTTAATTACCAATCTTTAATAATTTCTTTATGGCTGAAAGTTCACACTACGTATTTATTACTCTAACCAAATCCAATACATCAAACTCGAATAATTAATTCCTTATAAAGAAGTGAAACACAATATATGTGTTATTATCTTCGGTATAAATTTGTTTAGCAAACTCAATGCAAATGTAAATATTTGCCCAACTTCCCATGTATTCAATAGGAAATGTCCATTAAAGTGCTAAAAGAAAAGACACACTCAAAAACGTAAACCCTAACAACATACAAAAGACACTTAAATTTCTTTATCTGCAAACGTCTTCCCATGGTAAAGGCTACAAAGAAGCTTTATGCAAAGAAAGTAGTCCCAAAAGGCAGTGATAATTTTAGACAAATTTTGCACGAAATTAAAGAAACATAATTTAGTAAATTTTTTTGAATATAAATTAAAGATAATTTCTTTTAAAAAATACAACGCCTGCGCAAAATCTCACGAAATTCACGAGTCCAAAAATTCACGTTCCCATTTTCACTTTCATTAGAAGCGCACTCGAGTGGCACAACCGGTCAAGCGAGAGGTCTTTTATTTTGACAGAAAAAAAAAAAATGTAGCATAATCGTACAAACAAAAAATTAAAAATTAAAATGGAAAAAGATAAAAACAAAGTGGGGAGAGAAGGGTGAGCCAGCGGCTAGAGAGCCGATCTGCGCTTGCGCAGTATGAACTGGCGAACGCTTATTACCGTTGGGACTACGACAACGCAGTGTCGGCTCGAGTTTAGTTTTGTTGTTGGCTGAAGTTAATAATACAATGCTTAAAGTATAATCAGCTCATACATATTTATGTGTGCACATACATACATACGCATAGTGAAAATGACCGAAAGGAAATTGTAATAGCAATATTAAGAGAAAGAGAATTAAATTAAAAAAAATCACCAAAATACTAAAAATTAAAATAAAATGTAATCTAAATCTTTGAAGTTCGTATTTTCCAAAAATCAGTGCATATTTATATACATACTCGTATATATAATAATGAGATACATTTGGGCATACTTATACTGCCAAAGTACTGTTAAACATAAAAAAGGTATATATGTAAACATACATTTATGCATATACATATGCATGCGCTTTAACAGATACATACATATGTTTTGGTTAATAAATGTAAATATTATATTATGTTTTACTTTTCATATTATTATTATTTCACTTTCTGATAATTTCCATGTTGTCGACTAACTTCAACAACGGTAAAAAAAAGCTGCCACTAATATATGGGATTTTACTGAACCGTAGCAATAATGCGGAATTAAACTTTCACTTATTTAATTTTTTATTTTTTTTATTTTCTGTGTTAATTTTGTACAGACTTCTACTTATTGCTTTTTGGGTCTTTCAAAAATTTGTTGGCGAATATGTGCATATGTGTGTGTGTTTTTTCTTACGTAATATGAAAAAGAAAGGAAAAGTTTCTTCAAAAGCTACAGCAGTTCTGAGAAAGTTGTGGAAAACAGTTATTACATTGTATTTTATTTTATTTTATTTTATTTTATTTTATTTTATTTTATTTTATTTTATTTTATTATATTTTATTTTATTTTATTTTATTTTATTTTATTTTATTTTATTTTATTTTATTTTATTTTATTTTATTTTATTTTATTTTATTTTATTTTATTTTATTTTATTTTATTTTATTTTATTTTATTTTATTTTATTTTATTTTATTTTATTTTATTTTATTTTATTTTATTTTATTTTATTTTATTTTATTTTATTTTATTTTATTTTATTTTATTTTATTTTATTTTATTTTATTTTATTTTATTTTATTTTATTTTATTTTATTTTATTTTATTTTATTTTATTTTATTTTATTTTATTTTATTTTATTTTATTTTATTTTATTTTATTTTATTTTATTTTATTTTATTTTATTTTATTTTATTTTATTTTATTTTATTTTATTTTATTTTATTTTATTTTATTTTATTTTATTTTATTTTATTTTATTTTATTTTATTTTATTTTATTTTATTTTATTTTATTTT